GAAATATGGCAATAGCATGACTGCTTAGGCGGCAATAATATCTGATAATAGTATTCGCCCGTACCAACTAACGGCGAAATTTGGTCCGCAAGTCCAGATCTGCAGATTTATTATGTACGAAATTCGCATCGAGTCGTATCTGGCTCGTGATTAACCATTAACGGATCGATATTTCCTCGAACTTGGCTCGCCGCGTATGAGATACGCCAGATATTTCGCTCGTGTATGGGGCGCTAGTTGAGTAAGGGTTAGAACTTACCGAGCACCCATTGGTCGGGGCGATGGTTCCAGGAAGCGGACAGCCACGCGCTGACCAGCAGACAGTTTTCCAGCAGCATCACCACGTAGAAGATGGCCATCGTGCGGCCGTGCGGTTTTCCCTGCAGGTTGATGTAGGCGAGAACGTAGATGGCGGCCACAAGGGCGCACACCCACAGCTTCCGGCCCCTTTGCCCGTGAAAGGGGCTGCGGGGGCTCAGCAACCAGAGGAACATGCAGGCCCAGTGCATGCCCAACACCTGTACAAAGCACGCACTAAGTTGCAGCTAGATCGAGTGCTAGACTGGGTCTTACCAAGGAAATCCATGAATGGTAAGTGGCCGCATAGGCGGAGAGGGCGAGGGCGCGGGAGGTTACAGTGCCGGCTCTCCATAGCAGCTGTGACACGACTCCCAGCCACGTTAAGACCAGTCGATCGACGCTTTGCACATGTTTGCTGAACGAGGCCAAAGCCCAGCAAACCGAGAAAAGCGAGAGCGCAGCTGAGACGGTCACCAAATCGCTGGGCATGCCCGGTTTGCTGCCCGGATCGGCCAGTAAACTGAGCTGCAACAGCAGCATGGGCGCCGCCTGCAGAAACCCGTGGACAAGCCGCAGAATGCACAAATCGCGCACCTCCTGCTTTACGGTGCCCAGATGGACGGGGTGCAGCAGACGGGCGTAGCGCCAGAGGATGCCCATTTGTAGGACGTGCAGCCCCAGAACCAATAGGCTGGTGGGTTTCTTGGACAGGTACCTGCAACAGCACTTGCTTAGCCACTAAAGTACAGCCAAGCGCTGCCGAGCCTCACCATTTTACGCTCAGGATCTGGGAGACCAGCATGGTGATGATGATCGCGCTCAAGCACAGCCCCAGCAGCACAGTGAGACCGCTCTGGTAGAGGGAGTAGACGACGAGGAAGTCGAAAGCGAGATCGCAGAAGTATGCGGCCAGCGATACTATATTGAACAGTAGATCACATAGCGGCAAGAATTCTGCCATGACTCGACAATCATCTCATACTGAAATTGAAGAGGAACAACACCTTTAGATCTCTTCCTTGCTACTTCTAAAATGTGGCGTCCACCAATCAATTTTATGCGACAAGATAATTTTGAACTACCTATTAACATTCAAATGGATTATCAAACCGCTTCAAAAATATCACAGTTCGGGGCTTACATGTCTGGACCTCCGGTCAAAGATTTACTTGAAATTGGTGACCTTAGTGGTGGCCCCCCGATAGGGGGGCGCAAAATCGGGGCCCCATTTCAGGCACTTAAACCACCAAAGAGCAGCTGTCAATTCCAGCCGATGCCAGGGAATCGTTGGAATGCGACCTTCGGGTACCCCCCGGGGCGCTCCAGGCACATTCCACAGCAAAATGTCCAATTTACTTACTTGTTATGAGTATTTGTTTGGGCCATTGCCCACATTCCTAACCTCCTTTCATTTTTATTCGCGATTTGTTCATTGTATCCAGGTTTTAATGGCTGAATCTGAATGGGTGGCCTGCCGGCCGCTTCCGGGCCATGTACCGATCACTTTCCAACACTGAAATTCGCACAAAACTACGGGAAAAGCTAGAAAATTTTAAATGAAAACTTCTCCGAGGAAATGCTTTGCTGTTTGTCAAACTGACGGCAACGACTACAGCTCCGCTAGCCCTATGTGACCGACTGGAAATTTTGGAGCAGAACGAGCGAAAGTCTTGATGTCTGAACAAATATTTTAGGGAAATTCAAGGGTTTTTCGCCAGAAACTTGCCGTAGTTGTTCTACAGTACAAAATCCATACACAATCACGAGGCAATTTTTTTGATGCTTTAAAGATACTGGCCACGGACATGTGAAAACACCGATAAAATCGAGGTTATGACTTGAATAAGTTAAAAATGTCAACCTTGGTTCTAGTCCTGTTGTTTACATGCAGTTGCTTGGGCCCTTTCACAGATCGCGAAGACTTTTTGAAGTGTTTTCCGTTTAGTTTCGCTGCCGCGCGTTGTATTAAACCTATGATCAAGTCCCTGGCAAGTAGTCGGGAAAGCTAACCCCACTTTGCCCACCATAAGTATCAAAATATAAACAAACATTGAGGTTATGCGACCGTAGCTGCTCGTTTTAAAAACATTCGTCTAATCGTCGGGACTTTCTGTGAAAAACACTCGCCTAAATGCGTTGGTTCGTTAGTGTTTGTTGCTGATAACCCCGGATTGTGAAGAATGTGTTTATTGATGTGGAAACAGGCGGTTTCTAGACATGCGTCCTCAGGCAGTGTTCTTGTGAGGAAACTTGACCACTTTCACCACAAATATCCTCTGAGCTGTAAGCGAGCGATAGCCTTGAGTGTGCAGCAGTTAGTTAACGGAAAACCCCGCAGCAAAATGGTAAGTTTGTGATGATAAGTTGCTTGCATGCATGGGAATGTGGAATCTTTTGCTTTTGCTTGATCCTCCTGGGTGCCAGTCCATTGCTGCAGCACATAGAGCAGCTCTGTTTGAGATCGGTAGACCGCTCGTTTTTCATTCCATCCCTGCAACTGTGTTTGGTGCAAAGCCTTTCGTACTTAGGTTCTACAGGCATTTAGGGTATCACCCTTTTAATCCTCTAGTATCCCTTGCTGGTCCCATATGTTTAATAACTTCGCCGTGCATGTCTGCAAGTCCAAGTCGCGAAAGTGTCCTAGTGTGTGCCCTGCATTAACCCCAACCCAATGTGAAAAAGTGATTGTTTTGCCTGGTTAGACAGATAAACTGAGCACAGAAGAACGCAACAGCCAGCTGAACGATCTGTTGGGAAAAGGGTGGACAGTGCAAAATGACCGGGATGCCATCTACAAAGAGTTCCAGTTCCGGGACTTTAACCAGGCAATGGTGGCGAGTTGAGGGCAAGAGCGGCTGGCTAATCCAACCACTTTTCAGGCGTTCGGCTTCATGACCCGCACGGCTCTTTTGGCCGACAAAATGGACCATCACCCGGAATGGTTCAACGTGTACAATAAGGTGAATGTGACGCTCAGTTCGCATGATATCCAGGGGCTGAGTCGGCGTGACATTAAGCTGGCCAACTTCATGGAGGAGGCTGCTGCTGGCCTGAAGAAATAAGCCAGTTTCGATCACATTTTAGCTGTTTGACTCTTTGAAATATAGGTACGCTACTGCTGGAAAGGTTCATTCATTTATCCAGGGTGTGCACGCTATTTCCTATACGTTATTGAGTGATATTTTGATGTAACAGTGGTTTACACAGGCAGCTTTAAGTGCACTGATTACCAACCACGCAAATCTAAAACTTCTTGAAATCAAGCCTTTTTTGAGAAAACTGCCAACATTTCCCTATCCATTGTTCACTTTCTGAAAAGGCCATTTATTTCTGTCTAGAATGATGTACAAATGAGCGTTCTTGCTCATTTTGCCTCCGACAAATGAGCAAAAATGGGACGGAAAACATG